AGTGACCTGGCAGGACAGTGACTTGAACATTTCTCTGCCTGACATGAGGCTTAGACCCCTTCCCTCCCTGCCCTTCAGGGATCATGACAAGTGACACACCCAGGCCTGACTGTGTTTCTCTTGTTGGCAGGGCTTTGGCAGCTCTGGCTCTCCTAGCTCCTCTGGACGCTTCTTTGCTTTTCTTAACCAGGAAAGGGGTCCCCAGACAGAGCCTTGGCAGGGCACTCAGAGCTGGTGATCAAACCACTTTCCTGCCTCAGACAAGGAACCTGGAGAATGTTCTGTGTAGGATGGTGTGCTGGTAGGGAGCCCTTTCGGCACTGCTTCCCCTGCCCTGTGGTAGTGCCAGGACCAGGCCAGTGATGCTTCTCAGTAGCCTTATCATTCACAGGTGCCTCTCTAGCCTGCACAAATGATTGATGGGATCGCCCAAAGGATTCTTTCGGAAGGTTTTTTGTTTTTGTTGCACATGACAGTGTTTGTATTGAGGGTCTTCTGAGGAGGGAGGAGGAATACTCTAGCAGTGGTGCCTGGGTTCCTGGCTTCCAGTGCCTCACCCCCCTCACCACCCCACCCAGCACTTTTGTCATGTTGGTGCTTAGGTTCCTGTTTGATGAGATCAAATTGTGAGAGAAAGGAAAGGGCTTTGAATCCTATGCGTTTCAATCCTGGAAGGCCACCACCAATGCCATCACCACTGCCTCCATGTAGCAGTTGCTAGGCCCCAGGAGCAGCTGTTCCCGGTGGCTTTATGAGTCTGTTTCTGCTTCCTGCCCCCATCCCCACTGTGCAGTCCTTGAGATTTGCTCTGGTTCCATTGTCCAAGGAGTAAGAGCTGAGTGTCCTCGATATCCTACTTCTTCCTGTGTGGGGGCCCCAGCTCTTGTCTGACAATTGATGGATAAGAATGAGAATTTAACCCCCAGAAATCCACAAAATGGCTGCAGATATTCCCATAATCCCCTCCCCTTACATGTTCCTCTATACTTAAAGTTCTGCTGGTTGCAAACTTGCCTAAGGTATTAGGCCATCTTAATACAGAGCAATTTTCTGGAACAACAGATGAGTCTTGGATCAGGAAGCAGAGCTCTGCTGGGCTTGGGGACTATGTCCCATCTCCAGCTGGGCCTGGGCTTCAGTGTAGCTGAGGGAGCCACAGACCAAGGTGGATAAAATGGTTGAGCTGATGCTTGCTGTATTTTCTTAAAGCTAATTCATTATCATATAGGTTCTTTCATCTTGCACAACTAGCCCATTCTTTCAGCCCTTAAATCCCTCTTATAAAATAGGTTCATGAAGAGTATTAAGTACTCCTTGTTCTGGCTTTGACCAGAGATGGCAAGTGAAAGGTACACCATTTCTCTGCTCCATAGTAGGTACCACTAGTCTCTGTTCAGAGTATTTCCTGCTCATTCTTGGTATTTCATTTCTTGAGGTTCCCTCAGCAGCCAGTGCTGAGACCTGTTTGCCATCCCTGGCTGAGATATTGCTCTCCTGTGGAGAAGTGTCTTCCCCTCTGAAATGGGTGTGTCTAGAATGGTCCCTAAACATGCCTCTTCCTGTTCCAGTAAGGCTCCCTCACTCATGCCGGGTTGAGGTACTCAAGAACTGCCCCATACAGGGTTTGCTGGGCTGTGGAAGCATTGGGAGGAGGCAGAAGCTTTTGCCCACCTCTTTAAAGATCAGGTAGACCTGCAATAGCCCACATGATTGCCTGCCTCACTTCACCTACCTCTTAAGGCCCATGGGGTTAGCGGGGAGGGAGCTCAGTGTGATGGGGTGGGAACTCAGCACAACAGCTCTCTGAAACCAAGTGGAGCTACAGTGAGCAAGGTGGCCCCAGCTGGGCTTCCCAGGTCAGAAATAATAGGCCCTGGGCAGGGTAGAACCTTTGCTCTCAGCTCTGGGCATCCTGGCCAGGCTATAGGTAGGGATCCCATTCCTCTAACTCCATTGACCAAATCGTAATCACTACAGCTGTTCTGCTTGCTCCGCTTTCCAAAGTCAGCCCAGGTACCTGGGTGCTGCCAGCCAGGAGCCTGGGCCAGATGCAGGGGATGTGGCCTCTCTGAAGGCCAGTGCCTTCCTCACTAGGGCAGGTCCCATGCACATGACCTCAGTTCTAGGACCAAGAGCTGTGTTGGTTTCTTGGATTGCTAGCTTTTCCTCCAGGGGACCACAGCAGGCGAGGCTCACAGCCCAGAGCCCTTGGCTCTGCTGACAGTAGTTGTGTTCAGACCTTGTCCAGCTGAGAGCTTCATGTACACCAGATTCTAAGAGGTGTCAACAGCACTTTCTTGTTTGTTTTCCATGAGGTTTTTGGACCATGGGCTGAGCTCAGGCACTTTTTTCTGTAAGAGAATGTTATGTCTGTAAAGATCGTTATTTTCCCTCCTCTACCCCAACTGTGGTTGCCCTGGTGTCTAGGGGAGGGCCAAGGCCTGCTGAGCTGATTCTCCAGCTGCCCCAGCCCTCCCACCTTGCACAGCACAGAAGGTCACCCCAGGGACAGCCAGGTACCCACCTCCTGGGGGAGGGGTGCTGCCATCTGTCTCTAACTGCTTCCCTTATGGCCCAACTTGGCCTCCCAGATTTGTTTGAAGCTGTGCTGACAGCTTTTTTTTTTTTTTTTTTTTTTTTTTTTTTTTGTCTCATTTTGGTATTCACAACAGCCAGGGACTTGATTTTGATGTATTTTAAACCCTATTAAATAAAGAGTCTGTTGCCTTATTGCTTCTTTCCTGACCTTTGTGGTCATTTGGGCTTCTGAATCCATCCAGCCATCAGTGATTTGTCTGGATCTGCTGCCAAGTCTGGCTGTGCCCTGACAGCCTGCATCTTCCAGAGTGCCCTCCCTCCCTTCCAGCTCAGGACACACAGACTCACTGGAGCTGCCCGAGTGGAGCCCTTGGCAAAGCTGACATGATACACATGTATGGGAGCACCGGAGATGATTTTCATAAAGTCAAAAATTGGCCCTGCCCTCGGAGGGCTCACAGGCTGGTGAGGAGAAAAGGGATGTTCGGATGTGGAAGGGGTGGTTGTCCTATGGGAGCAAAGAGGAGGAAGGCCCTGTCCCCTTCAGCAAGAGAATAGGGGTGGATACCTGGAAGGGCCTGTGGCCCAAGGAGCAGGTAGAAGTTCGATAACCATTTAGCACAGAGGTGGGGAACCTTTTTTTGCTAAGGATCATTTGCATATTTATAACATTTGCTTAATATAATTCATTTAATATACATTTGTGTTGCTATGAAAAAAGCTCTTAGATTTATTGAATTTTGAGTCCTGCCTATGACTGCCTTGGCAGGGCCATGCCAACTTATTTCATGGGCCTTATACAGCCTGCAGGCCGGACGTTCCCCACCCCTTGTTTAGTAACAGTGGTTCAATGCAGGTGCCCTGGAGGGGGTGGAAGAGATGATGCAGGGGCCAAATAAGTCACCAAGAGCCTGTGTGCCAGATTTGGGCTATATCCAGGGAGACCCACTGAAGGTCTTTGGTAGGAGATAGGGAGGGTCTATGAGGAATGCAAAATCAAGGGCAACAGAAAGCTAGGCACATGGTGTGGTCCAAATTAGACAAGTGACATCACTATCTGGGCTGTCTGCCATGGGCAACATCTCTTGGCACCAGCCCACCAGGGACCTCCAGGTCCCTTTCCTTTGATTTTGTGTGTTCTACTGGTTAAAAAAAAAAAAGAATGAACTGGTTTCACCCTGACTGGGTGGCTCCATTGGTTGCAGCATCATCCCCCTGCACCAAAGATTGTGGGTTCAGTCCCTGGTCGGGGTCAGGGTGCATACAGAAGGCAACTGATTAATGTTCCCCTTTTTTCTCTCAGTAAAAATCCTCCGGTGAGATTAAAAAAAAAAAAAAAAAGAATGAACTGGTTTCTTATACACTCCTGCTCACCCACCCCAAGCTCCTATATGGGACACATCCTGGATGTCTCACCCAGTAACATGTTCTCTCTGGGGCCTGGGCTGTTCATCACAAAGGACCATATATGAATGGCCAACCAATGACAAACCAAGTGCCCTTCCCTCCACGTCTCCACAAGTAGATGTGTCCACGCTGGCTGTAACAGTCCCCACAGAGCCTCTGCCCCTTCCCGTCAGGGTTCTAATGGGTTGATATTTTTCTGTGCTGGCCACGTTGGTTCCAAAGATCCTTCGGAGGGGGTCAGGGGAGACCGCCTCAACTGGGAGCTCTGAGCAAAGCAGCTCTAAGAATAACCACCCTAGAGGTGCTCCTGGGCCCTCGGCCACTTTCCACAGGAGCCCTGGTGCCACTCCTGCAGTTCTGTGAGGGAGGAGAGGGCCTTCCAGCTGTCCTGTCTGCCTATGCAGGCCCCTGTCTCAGATCCCTGCTTATTGAACAAGTCCTGACTCACTAGTAATGTCTCCCCTTCAGGAGCAGTCTGGGCATTGAAAGCACCTGGGAAAGAGCCTTGCTGGGGAGCCTGCTGACACAGCGCCTCATCCCTCCCTAACTCAGCCGGAGGCCAGACCCAGGGACGCTGCCCCTGCCCCTCGGGAGAGGACGGTGGGTGGGAGCAGCTGTGTGCACTGCCCAGGGCAGTTATTTGAGCCTGTAGGGCAGCCTGTCTCCTGTTGCATCAGATGCTTCCCTGAGGACCTGAGCTGGGAGCCTCTGCCAGGTCTTTAAATAGCTGCCCCATTGATCTCCTGGGGCAGCAGGGGGTGGGGAAGTGTGTCAGCCTCCAGGCCGCAGTCACACGCCAGGTTTCAGTTCACCCGATGCCCGCTCCCAGGTCTCCTGGGCCTGGGGGTGGGCTTGTTCTGTCACTTCATCGGTGACTGAGTACAGCCCCCAGCGCTTTACCAGCGAGCAGTGTCTGGTGTTGTGGGAGGAGTGCCACTGCCCTCAAAAGACTATTGTTGACTGTTAGTAAAAGGAGACGATGACGGGATCTTCCGCCAGGGCTGTTAAGAGGATTAAATGACCATAAAGTGCTTAAAGGGTTCCTGGACTCACTTGATGGATCATTGTCTTCTCCCAGTTTCTTCTGTTGCTGCTGCCCTGGTGCTTCGTCCATGCTTTTATATATGTCTGTTCACATTCCCTCTCTTCCCTCTCTGCATTCTTCTTTCTGACAAAGCCACCACCATTTTGTGAGACTATAGTTTCTCTCCAAAACAGATGGGAAAGTGAAATGATTTTTAGATTGCCATCACACAACATCGTAGTCACCTTGTTCAGGTGAGGAGGTAAAGTCTTGAGAGGAACAGCATAATAAATGTGGAGACGCTCTCCCATCTTACCCCACCGCCAGCGATAAAGGTCACTTTCTCTTTAAATGCAAATTACCTCCTGCCAGCTCAGCTTCCACCCCTCCAGTTCCCTGTTCCCGGTAGGAGAGTGCTGAGGGCGGAGGAACACACACGGAAGCATCACTCCAGACCCCAAACCTCCAGGTCTGTTGCCCCGGGGAGTGGGGTGGGGCAGAATGACACTCCCTTTGAGATCCTGGCTCCTGAGCTGAGCGATCCACTTGGCACAGGTTTTGGGGGTTGAGTGGGAAATAGATCCCAGGCTGTCCCCAGCGGTTCCTGGGGAGCAGAGGCTCCCACTCCAATTCTTCTATCAAGTCCCTAATTGGGTCAAGCTGCCGCAGGTCTCCCCTCTGCCACACCCCCTAATGCCAACCAGCCATGTGCCGATTTAAATGCCCCCAGCACCACCACCATCCCAGAGTGCAGATCAGGCTTGGTGGTGGCAGCCTGGAAGGAGCAGCTCGGGGAAACCCCCAGAAAGGGCCCCCAGACCTCCCTGGGGAGGACCTCAACAGACCTGGGCTTGCCGGCGGAGCGAGACTGGAGGCCCAGCAGCCAGCCACAGGCCAGCCATTGTTGGGGCCAAGGCAGCCAGCTGCTGCCCACCACCCACCCCAGCTGAAGCCAAGCAGGGACTTTCTGAGTGGGGAGGGTGAAGCAGCTGGAAGCATGTCCCAGGGAACTTCTGAGAGTTGCCTGGTGTTTGAGTTTGGGAGTAGATGGAGGAGGGGGTGCAAGCATCTAAATGGGAGAAAACCCCACACGGAGCCCTGCCCTGCACGCCACCGTTTCTCCCGCTGTCATCCATCCTCTGGTGGTTAGTGTGTGGCACACCCACACTTGGGTCACCTCCCATGCAGATGCTCCCAGCCTCTGCCTAAGCAGTTGACATACAGAACGTGGCCTGGCTAAGACACCCTAATCCTTTGGAGCTCCTGCCAGCTCACCTCCACTGCCTCTCCCTCCTCCACATTTCCTCTGCCAGCTCCGCCCCCGCCCCCCCCCCCCCCCCCCCCAGCTACAGGGCAGGGAACTCCAGCAGCCTCTGGAGAATCCTACCTGATGCAGCCCTTTCAGGCAGGGCTGGAGGACAGGTGGGGACCTGAGTGGGCTCAAAAGGTCCTTCAAATACAGACCCATGACCCCAACAGTAGGTGCTGGCATTGGGCCCTCCCCATACTGGACAGATGAGGGGACAGAGGCCCTGGTGGATGTGAAGGGATAGTTGGAAAGTCCCAGGGCCTTCCTTTGCAGCTCTCGGGGCTTGGCAGGTGAAGGGATGACTTTGCTTCTCAGATCTCAGTGGGGCTGCCTCCCACCCAGGGCCTGAGGCCCAGCCAGCATCAATGGAGGACAAGAAGAAGAAAAGGAGTCCCAAACCCTGCCTGACCCAGCCGGCTGCAGCCCCAGGAACACTCCGCAGGGTCCCTGTGCCCACCAGCCACAGTGGCTCCTTGGCCCTGGGCCTCCCTCATCTGCCGTCCCCCAAACAGAGGTCCAAGTTCAAGAGGTGGGTACAGAAGGAAAGGGCAAGAAGGGAGGGACCCTAACTCTAAGCTGAGCACTGTGGTCAGGAAGGTAAAGGGGCCTTAGCCTTTAGGTACTGAGCAATAATTGATGCTTTCCCTGGGGTTGCCCCTGAGAACCCAATGCTCAGGCCCAGCGTCTATCCTCAAGTGTGTGGGGAAAAGGCTGGGTGGGTCACACAGTGTGATGACTGAACCACCTCAGAGCAGGGAGTGAGCAGCACTGCCTGCCAGGAAGTGAGAGTCAAGGCTGGGGGGTACACTGGACAGGGAGAATGTTCTAAGGGGCTTGCTTGGCATAAGAAAGAAGAAAAATACTGCCTGGAAAGTTCCAGGAACCATAAGTGGTTTGGTGGCCCTGGAGTGTCATAGGTAGGAAATGGTGAGGAGCTACTCAGGTATACAATTAGAATTATTTGCCTAATTTTTAAATTAAATTTATTGGGGTGGCATTGTTTAATAAGATCATATAGGTTTCAAGTGTACATTTCTCTGATACATGATCTGTATATTGCATTGTGTGCCCACCACCCAAAGTCATATCACCTTCCGACACCATATATTTGGCTCCTTTCCCCTTTAATAACCCATCCTTCTCTCTGTAACCACCATACTGTTGTCTGTGTCTGTGAGTTTCAGTCTTATATCCCACATATGAGTGAAATATATGGTTCTTAGCTTTCTCTGATTGACTTATTTCACATAGCATAACATTCTCAAGGTCCATCCAGGGCTTAATATTTTTTAATGATTGGGAATCTGCATCCTACCCTATAATGTGTCCCTGTGTGTTCTTTCTCCAACTGCTATGTTTCCCTATGGCTTTGACATCCCCTGCCTTAGGGGCATGTTTAGGGACAGCCACAGTGGGTATAGCTGAAGCTCTGGACTGGGGAAGGAATAAGAAGAAATGCAATTGGAGATGGGATTGCAGATGGGGACCAGGCTGAGAAGGTTGTTAGGTGTCATTCTAAGGGCAATGGAAAATTCAAAACAGTTTTTAAAGGCCCTGGCCGGGTAGCTCAGTTGGTTAGAGCATCTTCTTGATACACCAAGGCTGCAGCTCGATCCTGGTCAGGGGACATACAAGAATCAACCAATGAATGCATAAATAAGTAGAACAACAGAATCAATGTGTTTTTGTTTCTCTCTCTCTCCCTCAAAATCAATCAATCAATAAAAAATTTTATAGTTTTTAAATAGAAGAGTGTCAGAAAGATATTATGGGGAGAGGTAAGATAGCTCTCATGGCAATAAGGGAGTAACTGTCCCCAAATTCACCGAGAACCAGTGAGGACAAGTGATTCACTCAGGGTCACAGGAGGAATAGGTGGGGGCTCAGACAGGAACCCAGGAGCCTCCTTCCAGGCATGGCTCTGACTTTATCATTGTTAGAAAAAAACCCCACAAAACTTATTTTGACTTCTTACCCTCATCCCTCCTCACTCTCCCTTCCCTTTATTAGTCCTGGTACCCAGCGCAGGGCCAGAAGAACAAATATCCATTTATGTTGATGAGTCGATAGGAAGATGAATTAGTGTACAGACAGATGGCACAAAAGACCTGGGGGTGCCTGGCTGCCTCTGCCCTGTGACCTTGGTCATGTCCACTCCACCCAGGGTAGGCAAGGAGAAATGCCGCCCGGTGCTGGCCGGAGGTGGGGGTGGCTCCGCAGGCACCCCCCTGCAGCACTCGTTCCTGACCGAGGTGACCGATGTTTATGAGATGGAGGGAGGACTGTTGAACCTGCTCAATGATTTCCACTCAGGCCGGCTACAGGCCTTCGGTGAGTCCTGGGAGTT